GTGTGTGTGTGTGTGTGTGTGTGTGTGTGTGTGTGTGTGTGTGTGTGTGAGAGAGAGAGAGAGAGAGAGAGAGAGAGAGAGAGAGAGAGACTGAGAATCCTTCTATGGGAAAATCTAAGGTACTTGCCTTCTAGTGTATGTGAGCTAGAGAAGATCAGAAAAACTCCAGGACTGGGAGCCACAGAGGAATGCTGGATATCTGAGCCTTATCTGGGGAACATTCCAGAGCCAGGACCCTCCCCCAAACAGCCCTGGTGTGGGATAATCCTTCCATATGCAATGAATGTGCTGCTCTTATTGATTGATAATAAAAACTAAATTGGCCTATAGCCAGGCAGAATAAAGCTAGGTAGAAATTGAGCGAGATGTGAGCCAGCTGCCCAAGAAGCAAGATGCCAGAGGACCAGTAAAGCCATGGCCATGTGGCAATATATAGATGAATAGAAATGGGTTAATTTAAATGTAAGAGCAATAAGCCTGAGCTACAGGTCAAATATTTTGTAATTCATATTAAGTCTCTGGGTGATTATTTAAAAGCAGCTGCAGGACAGGGCGGGACAGAGGAACCTCTCCTACACAGTCTCTCTGGTTGCAGGCAGGCAGTAAGTCAAGGGATGACCTGTTACTGCAGGTGAGAGAGGCTGGGGAACAGGCGGAGCATGGGGAGTCAGGGGGACCATAAGGTAGCAAAAGCAGTGGAAGGAAGTGCAGGCTTCCTCACTGAGTCTCCCATGAGTCCCTCCCTCCTTCAGGAGAAAATGACACAGCTACCTTCTGTGTGACACAGATACGCCATTGCTTTCCTTAGAACTCTGGGGTCCTCGCCTATAAAATGGAGATGTAATAACACACTGTAAACTCTCCTTAGTAAGTATGACTGCCACTAACAGCAAACTCATTCCTTGGTTCTCCTTGATCCCAGAGACGGGTATTGTTCAACTGTGTGCCCAGTAAGAGAGGTAGCTCTTCAAGGGTCAGAGCCACCTGTTTCCACCCGCAGTTCAGAGTGAGGCTAGGAAGCCCTCTCTCCAGAAAGACCACTAGAAGTCACCCTGCCTCTCGGAGCTCTGAACTCTGGGAAATG